TTTTCAAAATGATTTGCGCTCCAACGTTCGAAAATGCAATAGGGATCCTCGTGATTCATCCAACGGTCACAATTCTCCATGTGAATCTCTTCAAGACCTTTTGTGTAAAATTTCAAATATTAATTTTTCTTTCTTTTTCACCACTCCTATAAGTAAAGGTGGATAATTTTCCCAGATCCAACCAGACTTAATCCTCCAATTTCTCTTTATTTTTCCTGATTAAAAAAAAATATATATATATTTTTGCAACTCTTTTATTTTATTTTTAATGGATGGATCATTATACCTTCCTGTCTAAGTGAAGGAACAATAATAAAAAACAGTTTTTGTTTATTCTCCTTTTTCCCAATTCAAGCCAAAGTTAAACTCTTTGTCAGATTTCTCTGTCTGAAAAAGAAGAAAAAAAAAATCTTATTTTTAACCATTTTTTTTCGTAGAACTGATCAAAACCCATTTTCCCAAAATGCAAAACCTGAAATGGGTTTTCAATCTCTTGTTTATTTCATCTCTTCTTCGTAATCATGTTCATTCTTCATCACAAGTAATCTGTTCAAGCCAAGACAGAGCATCACTTCTGAGTTTCAAATCAAGCATCATCAAAGACACAACTGGAGTTCTGTCTTCATGGGTTGGTCAAGATTGTTGCAATGGAGATTGGGAAGGTGTTCAATGCAATTCAGCCACCGGAAAAGTCACCACCTTGATGTTTCAACTCTCCGTGAGAGACCCTACTCTTTACATGAAGGGTACATTATCACCTTCACTTGGAAATCTCCGATCTCTTGAGACTTTTCAAATCTCTGGAGCCAAATTCATCACTGGTTCGATCCCAAACACCTTCTTTAACTTGTCTCGTCTTAAATACCTCGTGCTCGAGGATAATTCTCTCCAAGGCAATCTTCCTTCTGGTTTAGGCCAGCTTCCATTGTTGGAAACTCTTTCATTATCTGGGAATCGTTTCTCTGGTCTTGTTCCGGCGAGTTTGGGGAGCTTGAGAAGCCTTTCTATTATGAGTTTGGCTCGAAACTCTTTCTCTGGTCCGATCCCAGTGACTTTCAAGAACCTTCAGAGACTTCAGAATCTTGATCTCAGCTCCAACTTGTTATCTGGACCAGTTCCAGATTTCATAGGCCAGTTTCGGAATCTAACGAGTTTTGATCTCTCCAACAACAGATTAACCGGTGGATTACCAGTTTCTGTTTACAACTTGGGACAGCTTCAGAGTATGGCGTTGGAGGGTAATGGTCTGACCGGACCACTCTCGGATCGAATCAGCAATTTGAAGTCACTCACTAGCCTTCAGTTAAGCGGCAACAAGTTCATCGGTCACATACCAGCATCCATTACAAGACTACAGAATCTCTGGTCTCTCAATCTCTCAAGAAACCAGTTCTCTGATCCTTTGCCTGTTGTTGTAGGCAGAGGATTTCCTTCTCTACTGTCTATTGATCTTTCCTACAACAACCTTAATCTTGGAGCAGTGATTCCAAGCTGGATCAGAGACATGAAACTCACTGAGATCAACTTAGCTGGTTGCAAATTGAGAGGAGCACTTCCAAAGCTAACAAGACCACAAGACTTGAACTCGCTGGACTTGTCTAACAACTTTCTTACAGGTGATGTTTCAGCTTTCCTCACAAACATGACCAGTCTTCAGAAACTGAAACTCTCAAAGAACCAGCTCAGGTTCGATCTCTCCAAGCTCAAGTTACCAGAAGGTTTATCTTCCATTGATCTCAGTTCAAATCTCGTGACCGGGTCGCTTTCAAGTCTCTTAAACAACAAGACAAGCAGCTTCTTGGAAGAGATCCATCTCACCAACAACCAAATCTCAGGAAGGCTCCCCGATTTCGGAGAAAGCTTGAACCTGAAAATTCTCAACATAGGGAGCAACAAAATCAGTGGACAAATCCCAAGTTCAATATCAAACCTTGTTGAACTTGTGAGACTAGACATCTCAAGGAATCACATAACAGGAGCTATACCTCAAGCTTTAGGACAGCTCACGCAGCTCAACTGGCTCGACCTCTCGATCAATGCACTAACAGGAAGAATCCCGGATAGCTTGTTGAACATCAAGACGATGAGACATGTGAGTTTCAGAGCAAACAGATTGTGTGGACTGATTCCACAAGGAAGACCATTCAATATCTTTCCTGCAGCTGCTTATCTGCATAACCTTTGCTTGTGTGGTAAGCCATTACCACCTTGCAGGAAGACGATGAAGTGAAAAGAACAAACACAGACGTTTTGAAGTGGCCAGTTCCAACGCTGACTTTTTTATCTTAATAATCCTATCACTTTACGCATTTCTTCAAAATAGATGATA